GGGGAACCCACGTGACTGTCTGTGGGGACAGCGAAAACCAAAGAAGGATTTTTCAGTTTCCCTCTGACCAGCGGCAGTTGAACATCGCTGGGCAAAAATCGTCAGACCGCCCACTGAGATGAGGAAGACCACGAAGTCTATCGACCAGTGATTGAACACTTGCGAAAAGAAGAAGAATCCAGGAACATTGTCGGCCGGCCAAGATACTGATTTATCATCAGAACTCTCGCTTCGGCGAATCAAAACTTTGTGAAGATACCAGCCCGACTGCAAGATAAGTTGGTTCTTTTGGCTCGATCTATTTTCATATATGTATGTATTCGCTCGCGCCTTCTATTCTTTACTGATGTCCTCCCCCTTTGTTAAATGAATGTTCTTTTTTTTCTTTCTTTGTTTCGTTACATATATATTTATAAATAAATGTTTAATTTTGAAAGCCATCGTCTTGTGTCTGTTCTTCGTTGATTCCCTTGTGTCGCTTCCATTTCTGAGTGAAGACCGAGAAAAAGAAACCACGTTTTCCTTTTTTTTTTTAGAACCCATGGTTCATCTATATGCTACAAGTTCGTAACAAATATATATATATATATATATATATATATATATATATATATATATATATGTATATGATGTAATGATATGCATACACTTGGGTTCCCCCTCACAGTAATATGATTGGCTGGTGTCAGTCATAAATATAGACTGATGTGGAGGTACATAGAGGACACCTATTGCCTACCCCTACGACGAGGACCAGTCCATTACGGCTACCTGCTAGATTGTTCTACCCGGTTACAGTAGTCAACAACCACTTTGCTACTTCGAACAAATATATCCCTTTCCGGGGCATATCAATATATACACACACACACATATATATATATGTCTTCAGCCACAGAAAACGTCTGGTTAGCAAAGTCCGAACTACACACACACACGCACATACACACACACACATATATATATATATATATATAACATGAATTTAGAAACATCAGAAGAAAAGATTACACATTCTTGATTTGGTTACTAAAAATCTCAACCTGTATACCCAGTTAACCTACGTATTTCAAGTACACTGGACAAACTGTTTTTGATACATTCCATTCTCCATATTAGCTTCTACATCACCTGTACACATCTCGTCTGTGCTAAAATTGCATTTTTACATTGCGTCAACTAAAATGTATTATATTCCAAATGAATCGCTTATTTTCTCCAAAGTTCGAACCAATAAATATAAGTACACCAATTACGACACTTTTTATTTTTACAAACAATTGTCATAATACAATTTAAAACGTTTTTTCATGAAGGCGAATCTATGTATATTTTTCTCTTTTTATTATCATTATTATTATTATTATTATTATTATTATTATTATTATTTCCTTTGATTTCTATTATATACACATTTGCTTGTGGATCCCAACTAGAGGCCTAAAGTCAGAAATGGCTTCATGATATTTTCCAGTGATCATTTTTGTAAAAAAAAAGAAAAAAGATTATAGGCATTTTACACAGATAAAGCTCTTTGCAATGTATGAGATTTACTTGTGAGTATAATTTTTTTTGTATTTCTTTAAGACATGGGCTACCAGTAATCCCTTCGATCAGATCATTTCGAATTGATCCAACTACAAGTGGAATTATTGATATCCTCATATGCCACATATTTTAGATTTCCACTTCAAGATTCTTGTATTTTGATAGTTTTTTTAAGATCTTCAAAGATACATTACAATCTACAGGAACTGCCATTTCAGTAAAAAAGCATATGCTTTGGTTGTTCTGTCTGTGTGTATTGTAAAGTCCCCTAAAATTGTTACAGATTCTATCTCTGTGACCGGGTCTGGGGGATGTTTATAACAATTTCTTGCAGTTTCCTTCCCGTAAAAGATGCATATTTTTCAATGCAGATGTCGGTCCACTCTATCATGCCGGGTTTTATATTCAGCAAATAAACAAACTCTGAAATTACAGATTGAATCTACGCACTGTCATGGATTACTCAAAACTTCCAAAGTTTACACAAAAAATATTTTGTTTTGGGAACTTTTGCAGTAAACATAACTTTTGTTGTAAATATGTAGTATAATATACGAACATCTTTCCTTAGGTGCTTATAAATTGTACACTGTTCAATTATTAACGTTAACAACGAGCTATTTTAAATTACAAAACTGTATTTGGATTAAATGAAAATTACATAATATAATACATATTACTTATAATTCTTTTCTTTCTTGCTGTCAATTTTGACGGCACGATCGCACTATATCATTTCAAGTTCAATTTGGGATTATCAAAGTCATTTTGGGACTAAGCAAGTTCAAAATGAAATAGTCAAATTCAAAATGGGATGTAACAAATTCAAAATGGAATAATCAAATTTGTGACATGGCAAATTCAATTCAAAATGGAATAATCAAATTTGATTTGCGACTTAGCAAGTTCAAAATGAATTACGCAAATTCAATTTGGGGCTGAGTAATTATTTTGCTAATAAAATGACTTTAAAATTAAATATTTTCATGGTAAAATAATAATGTTCAACTAAATTTTACTATTGAATTGTTTTATCTTCTAGGAGCAATTAATAAATCAAGAAAATTCATGAAAGATGTATGTTTTTTTGGATGTAACTTTCAACACTTAAAATCTCTCACTATACCTATCTTTTTTCAAACTCTATCTTGATATATGCATTCAGTGCTTTTTCTTAGGACTTTCGAGATTTGCCCTGTTGTCCCCGAAATCATTTCATTTTAAATAAGTCTGTCTTATTCTCTCTCTTTTTTAACACTTTATACAGTCTATTCATCTCTTTCTTTCTTTTTTACTTCTCCCTGATTGTCTTACCAATGAAAGTGCCAGAAACTCTAACTTTGACACAAATTTATCCATTCAAGAATAGCCTCTTGTAAGGAATTTATAGTAAAATCTACGCAACGCTGCGCTTCGATTTTTAATTATCTGATTTACCGCACAGTTGATTTTTTAATTCATGATATTTGTTTATTGAAACGCGTAGATAAGTTCGAAACATTTTTCCATAATGAATCTGCTTAGTCTCAATTCAAACTTGCTTACTTCATTTTGAATTTGCTACGTCCCATTCCAAACTTGCTTACTTCATTTTGAATTTGCTACGTCCCATTCCAAACTTGCTTACTTCATTTTGAATTCCAAACTTTTACTTCATTTTACGTCCCATTCAAACTTGCTTACTTCATTTTGAATTTGCTACATCCCATTCAAACTTCATTTGAATTTGCTATGTCCCTTCAAACTATTTCATTTTGAATTTGCTACGTCCCATTCAAACTTGACTTACTTCATTTTGAATTTGCTATGTCCCATTCCAAACTTGGCTATTTCATTTTGAATTTGCTACGTCCCATTCCAAACTTGGCTATTTCATTTTGAATTTGCTACGTCCCATTCCAAACTTGGCTATTTCATTTTGAATTTGCTACGTCCCATTCCAAACTTGCTTACTTCATTTTGAATTTGCTACGTCCCATTCCAAACTTGGCTATTTCATTTTGAATTTGCTACGTCCCATTCTAAACTTGGCTATTTCATTTTGAATTTGCTTAATCCCAAAATGACCTTGATTAGTCCCAAACTGGTATAGTTTACTTATATTCAAGAGAGTAATAAATTTCGTATTTATATGCATATATTTGTGTTTGCGCGTCTGCGTGCATGGGTGGGTGAATGCGAATGGCCAGCTAGGTAGGTAAAACGGCCGACGATTTAAAAAGAAAATGAGGCAAAAATGCCTCTCTTATTTCATTTCGAGCATTTCACATATGTTATTGGTTAAAGACATTATATGGAGCTTTGAAAAATCTATATTTAAAATGACGCCCTTAAATCAATATATTGCATGGATAAACTATATACTTGACCAGCTTTCGTTCGGGTGTAGTGTCAAATGGGAACCCAGTGTCCCATAGGGAACAAGAGGAACATATATATGTATATAATATTATACAGTGTAACCCGGATATAAGAGACGCGGATATAAGAGAGATTTTCTCTGGTCCCAAAGTGTTCCCATACTTACCTAAACAAAATAGACCAAACCCGGATATAAGAGAAACCCGGATATAAGAGAAACCCGGATATAAGAGACTTCTTCTCCGGTCCCGACAACTCTCTTATATCCGGGTTACACTGTATATATTTTAATGGGTACATGCGTTTGAGTCGCTTTTCGTAATTTTTTTTGTTAAACAGAGGAATTAATAACAAGTAACATAATGTCCTTCTAAAAGAATTGAACCAGCATTAGTTTTCCCATGAAAGAAATCCCATTTTGAGCAAAAGTGGGCCTCTACATATTTAGCCACAGAGACTAGGCTGTGAGAACGCGGTTGAAATTTCCTATTTAAGGGAAGCACGTTTTCTTGTTGGGATTTCTACGAATCTATATCTTCTAGCTTCAGTTTCGTAAACAACAGTAATTTTGAAAGGATTTTCTTTATACCGACAATATCTCTTATTACTAGAAACGTTATATTTTAGTGGGTACACATCTCTGAGTGGCTATCTCTGTTTTTGTTTTTTTGTTGTTTTTTTTTTTAATGCGATGGCTTAAATTTATGTGCTGTCGATTTTCTGGATAATATATGCCTGTTCACCCACTTTGGAAATTAAATTTTAACTGAATTAGAATAGCGATGATTATCCCGAAATACGAAATTATTGCCATTCATTTCATTAGAAAGAGATTTGAGAAGAGGTAGAATATAGATGGTGTTAGTTCATTGATTTTAAAATACGTCAATAGTTGTTGGATTATTTAATGGCGAAAGGGAGAATCTAGTAAGTATCGAACTTACCACTTAAAAATCTACCAGACGGGCCTCACTAGACCAGTAGAATATTTAATGAACAGATACCTAATCCTTGTCTATGAAATGACGAAAGGGTTCTTCAACTTTATTTTTTATTTTAGCAAATGATAGGCGTGAAACGTTCCGAACTCGTTAAACCTCAGCACTTGATAGATAGATAGATAGGATCAGTCTTGCATATATATTAACTGAAATATATATATATATATATAGATAGATAGATAGATAGATAGATAGATAATGAGATCGATAAACCGAAATGACCAAACTGAAAAAGATAGATCGAACGACAGATAGAAAGAAAAAGAGAATGAAAAATGTGGAGAGTAAGACAGAGAGAGAGAGAGAGAGGAGAGAGAGAGAAAGAAAGACTCAGCACAAATATAAGTGATGAAAAGAGAGCTGGATGCTATGAGATGGAACATATATATATATATATATATATATATATATGTGTGTGTGTGTGTGTGTGTGTGCATATGTGTGAATATGTGTCAACGCTCGTGTGTATACGTAAGCAAATGTGTATGTAAGCGTGTGTCTGTGATTAGATATGAAGCGCAGTATTTTGCATACACACACGCACACATATATATATATGCATTGGCAAACATATGTATTTATGCATGTACTCGAAGTCAATCGATAGCTGTAACAGTTTGTGATTATCCGTTTGTACAATATTAATAGATAGAATTTATCGTCATAGTGCTGCCAATACTTTACCTTTAGACTTAGAGCTAAATTTGAACCCCAAGCTCTGACCCCACACCATCACCTGAGATGCATAATTCCTTCATAAAAAAGAAATAAACTTTCTTCGCTTGATTAATTCTGTTGTGCCTAATTCTTCACTCAGATAAATCCTAATGCCGTTCTTCTCCGAAGCAAGGCGCGGCTGTAGGCTGGATGTTGATTGTGGGGAAGAAAGAGAGGCCACTCCCTTACCTACCGCTGACCGCAACTTCTAGGTCCCCGCCAGCTATACAGACCACGACACGAGATCACAGTGTCTTTGGAATTAATATCTGAAAAGCTCCGGATTTTCAATTCAGAGGGGGCATCGATTGAATTTACACCGGTGGTTAATGCTTGTCACATGAGTGCACAGGACCAACCAATACTGCGTCGTGTGGCTCTCGGTGTCGTTGTTATCGCTGAAGGTCCCACCTACCGAAGATGTTTAAGATTGCTTTGCAAATGTAATTTAAAGTAAATCTGAAATACGAGCTTACTGACTAATCTTGTTTAAGTTAGGTATTACAAAGCGGTGTACACAGATCTTTTTAAGAAACGTTTGTTATGTTTGGGCAAACACCGCTTTTCAGGAAAGCAAAACGAATTTAAAGAACGATATCAGGTAACAGATGTTCACAACAGTTCAAGAGAAGAAAGAGAAAAATGATGAAATACAGAACTGGCCGGTTTAGCTTAACTTTTATTGGCCCAAACGATCATATATAGATTTGTAAATTTAAAGGATGAAGAAATATAAGATGTTATATTAAAACTTAAGCACATCTAAATATGAAGTTTATGACCACAAGCTTTCAAGCATCAAATGTCATTATTTACATTCAGACTATTGTTCTTGTCGTTATTTTTGTTATCACAACGTTTCGACCGTTGTGTTCTCCGGCTTTCGTTATGTGCATGTAACTTACACGAAATTTTGAACTGAACTCTTTATTTAATCTATGAGGTAGATATTCTCCTTTCACAGCCCATGTCTAGAGATATCTCATTTACTTCTTGTTTCAATACTGCCCATATGTATATATTCGCTATCACGGACAACAACGGTGAACTCATATCAAGGCATGGGTTCACCGCTGGTATATGTCAGAGTCTAGTTGGAAGGATGTTGTCTACAAAACGTCAATATTTCTATCAGATTATTTATTGGACTGTTAGTACGTTTCTCAAGGTAGGATCTGATTACAATCGGTTTCGAACCACTGTCAGGGCCTCACCTGTAAACACTCTGAAGAACAGGCTTACCACATCCAAGCTTACTATTCGATTGTTGTGGATGGGGGCCTCTCAGATCGAATCAAAGTGTTCTGAATTCGTAAAGATAGTCCTCATGTAAATAATGTAAATATTAATGAAAAATTCCCATCCCAGAACTTCAGACAGCAATCAGATTTTATCTTCGAAAGGCATGAATGCAAACGAAACGCTTGCTGGAATTTCGACAGACGAATTGCCTTTAAACCCCAAAATTGTAGCGACGATTCACCATGTTTATTTTTACGGTAAATATAAAGTTTGGATAAATTGTAAGAAAAAAATATATGTTCTTAAATTTTTATTTGTTAAAATATTTAATCCTGAACTCGCAAATCGTCTGAAGATTGTGAATTTGACAGAATTAAAATTCCTATTAGAATTCATTATTGGCGACCACAATCTTAACATTAAATATGCAGATGACACGGTGTTGTTAGCAGAAATGAAACTGCAGAAACACCCACAGATGGTAGTCAAGGAAAGCGAGAAGAAAGGACTAAACATAATTTGTAATAAGACAAAATGTAGAATGTAAATGATAGTGAATGCTGGACAATCTCCTCACAGATGAAGAAGATATTTAAATCAACAGAAATGTGGTTCTATAGAAGGATGCTGAGAATACCATGAACTAGATATGTGAGCAACGATAAAGTTTTAGAGAAAATGGAAACAAAAAGTATAATGTTTTTAATCATTTCACCCCAAGAAGAACAATAAAGCCACTAAGACGCAAGAGGTTGTCTTACTTTTTATGTGCCATGTCCTTTCAGGACGTAGGCGATCATGGCTCCCCACCTCCCTCTATCCCTTGCAGTTCTTTCCCTCTGCTTCCTTCCACAGACCACGTTCCATTTGCTTAAGTCCGCCAGCTATGCCACGCATTGTTTTCCCTTGTCTCTCTTTGCCTCTATTCGACCCGTGAGTATCAGATTCTCCATACCCTCCTTCCTCATTATCTGTCCCAGAAACTTCAGCTGCCCCTTCCTGATATTAAGTATAAGCCTCCTCCTTGTCTGCAACCTGTTTAAGATCACATCGCTGCTCACACGCTCGGTCTATGATATCCTAAGCATCCTTCTGTAGAACCACATCTCTGTCGTCTCGAGTCTTTTCTTCATCTTTGAGTAAATCGTCCAACATTCGCTGCCGTAAAGAAGGACAGGTGTCACGTAACAGTTCAGTATTCTTTTCAGGAGGTTAGTGAGTGTAAAAGAATATGAAGAAAAGAAAAAAATATTATTAAGAAGAGAAAACAGTGAAAGAAAAGGAACTAAGAAGACAGACATTTGACGTTGTATTTAAAGTGTTGAAGATCAAAGTTGATTGGAAATCAAGAAACTGGAAGAGTCCCACAGACGAGAAGTGCGAGAAAAGAAACTATTAGCAAGAACTTACTGTTACATCTAGCCATGAAAGATGAATGTAAAAGGATGGGACCTTACCGCCAATCTATGTAGCATAAAATAGAGACAACTAAATTTTATAGGAAGTATAATGAGGAAAAAAGGCTTGAAGAATGTGACACTCACAGGTGTGCGGATAGTGTAAAAATTCGCAACCAGGAAAGAGAAATCAATGTACCGAGTTCGAATTCCGGCCGAGGTAGTTACGTTCACTTTCGCACAAATATCCTTGGGAAACGTCTGAAAATATCTCGTCTCCCTCCAGCTATGGGTAAAATAACAAGTTGGCGAACACTAGAAAACGACAACTCTAAATTCGGTATGCTAATGGTCAGGCAAAAACCTTTTAGCCTTAGTTGATAATCTATCTACAGATGGTGAAAATAAAAAGACACCCATCCCCCAGTAGCCTAGGCCACTCGTAGGAATGTGACAGATCGTAAAAGATACATAATGGCTAGAATTCTTAAATCACACGAGGTGCGCCTTCTGCCGCAGACGGAATTAACGTCTTCTTTTGAGTGTGTCTATAAGATATCCTTATGGTGCCCGTCTCTGTTCAGAGTAATTTTTAATTTAAAGTTGTCCTTCTCCTAGATTGGTTGTTCCATCAAGGTTAAAGGGTCCAGTACGCTCTACTGTTACACTCATAACTAGTGCAGGGAAAAGAAGTATTCATGCCTTTATTGTGACCAATACAAAGTGAATGTAAACTGCTTTCATTTGTTCGCCTTAATGTTAATATATCTTATGAGTGTCAGATTCTCCAAGCCCTCTTTCTTCAGTACGTATCCTACGAATTTAAAATGTCACTTTCTGATTCTAAAGTACAGGCATCATTTTTGGTTCTATATTCCTTAAAACTTCCTCGTTATTCACATATTCACTCTATGGCATACTCAGTATCCTTCGGTAGAACCACATTCCTATTGCCTCAAATCTCTTTTCCCTCTGTGAGGAGATTGTCGAGTATTTACTGGCATATAGGTGGGTCGATATTACATAACAATTTAGCGCACTTTGTTTCTGAGGAAATTTTCCTGTTTCTTAATACTTTGCTTAGCTTTTGGAATGCATCTTTCGCTATTCCAATGCGACTTCGGATTTTGGTGTCTCATTTTTGGTCCTCTATTAAAAAAAAAAAAACAAACTTCCTAGCAACTTATAAAAGCAACCTGGTTTATTGCCAGTAGGTTCGACTTATATCGTGTACACTACAATATGGCCTTTTTTGTGTCTGAATGTGCAAAAGCTGTTCAGATATTGATATATATATATATATATATATATATATATATATATATATACAATAAACGTGCAATCAATTTACAAATACATGAATTATTCACACAAAACTAATGCAAAAGGTTAATGATTTTAAATGGCGAGACATCCATCTCGCAAACAATTCAAATAGTACATAAAAACCTTAGATCCGTTATGAATGAATTGATCCTTGTTCATATAAATTTCTGCCGTATTAGTTGTTATTTTACTAAGAGAAAAAAAACAAGAACAACATCTATTATATACCTGAAGATGTCTGTATGAACAGACGAAAGCTTGTGTAAAATAACAACTAATACGGCAGAAATTTATATGAACAAGGATCAATTCATTCATAACGGATCTAAGGTTTTTGTGTACTATTTGAATTGTTTGCGAGATGGATGTCTCGCCATTTAAAAATCATTAACCTTTTGCATTAATTGTGAATAATTCATGTATATATATATATATATATATATATATATATATATATATATATATATACAAACTTGTATATGTGATAGGCAGAGAGATTATGAATGAATACACTTAGTTCATCGTATACACTAAGTTCACTATTGTCAAGTTATTTTCAGTGTTGTTTTCTTTACTTAAAAGTGGACGTGTTACGCACTAATAGACTACAGTAGAAAAGAAAAGTCGAGAGGTGAAATGAATTAGCAAGCTCCCTTTGTCCGACACTCATCTTGGCAGGTAAGTGGATGCCAAAAAAAAACAAAAAACTTTGCTACTAATGGGATCTCATAATAGTCACGTGAGTATATTAAGTTTGAGGTTCATTTTTATCTGTCTTTTTATTTATATAGCATACTTAAAAAAAGGGGAGATAACTCCTCTTTATTGAAATTAACAGATTGCATTGTGATGTGACGAAGGTGGGAAAATATACCTTATGAAATATGAATGTAGATTGTCGATAAGCAGATATTGCTGTTGTGTGCTGAATATACGAGCGTCTCCCGCTGAGTAATCTTATTGAGAGGGACGGGGAAATGATAAGTGCTTAGAGTGGAGATGAGAGGGAAAGATCAAGAATTGTAAAGTTTGGGCTGGGCATGGCTTGACATGATGTCATTTGGATAGAAAACATTGATAAAAAAATGAACGAAAAACTGAGAAAGCATGATGATAATAATAATAATAATAATAATATGCAAGAAGAAAAAGAAAGAACAATAAGCGAAATATACGAACGAATAATAAAAACGGACAAAAAACATGATAAATAAGGAGGATTATATTAACAAAAAAAATTAGAAGTAAAAAACGATAAACTCAACAACGCAAAACAGATATGGCAGAATGTGAAGGTTAAAATAATCATGTCAGCGAAAAGAGTGAAAAGACCGATAAGAAAGCAAAAAGAAAATACTCGTAAAGAGGTGAAAAGGACGGAGCGCAGCTAAGACTTAAGAAGAAAACGAAACAGACCATGAAAAGCAAAAGGGGTTGAGTTTATAGGGGTAGATATGCAAGAAACCAAATAAACAAATGCGGGTACGGTTAAAAAAGAAAAGAAAAAACAAGAGGTTTTACAAGACGTAATTGAATACAATACAATAATATAAATATTAAAGTACAACGACAAAAATAAAGGGTTGACTTCTCGGAGGAGCCGACTACATCCCCTGGAGAGAAGGCCCCAATCCAAAGCGGGAAGAGAGAGGGTGAGAGAGGTCGGGGATATCTGACGTGGATATAGAAGTATACAGAATAGAACAAATGAGATAGATAGATAGATAGATAGATAGATAGATAGATAGATAGATAGATAGATAGATAGATATGGACAAATGAGATAGATAGATAGATATGGACAAAGATAGATAGATAGATAGATATGGACAAATAGATAGATAGATAGATAGATAGATAGATAGATAGATATGGACAAACTGAGATAGATAGATAGATAGATAGATAGATAGATAGATAGATAGATAGATAGATAGATAGATATGAACAAACTGAGATAGATAGATAGATAGATAGATGTGAACAAACTAAGTTATCTATATATCGACAAAAGATAGACATGAGCAAACTTAGATATGAACAAACTATGGTAACCGACCTATACTGAGCTATTCTCGACCCAATTAAATGATCAATATTATCTATTCCCGAACCAAGTGATCGACCTATATTGACCTATCCCGAACCAAGTAATACCTGTTCTTACCAATACACGAACCGAGCAATCAACCAGTCTTCGAACGAAATAAACGACCAATATACACCTATTCCCGTATCAAGTAAATGACCAATATTTACCAATCGCCGAACTAATTAATCGACCAATATTAACCTATCCCTGAACCAAATAAACGACCAATATTTATCTATTTCTGAACCAAGTAAACGACCAATATAAACAGCCAATACTAAGCTATCTCCGAAGCAAGTAATTGATTATACATTCAAAAATAAATGACCAATGTATTCTTAAACCCGAACCAAGAAATTGTTTATCGATTCATAATATAATAAATGAATAAAATGATTTCAACATTAAATAGCCCAATATCAATAAACTCAACCCAACCTCATGGTTGATATTTTGCTGCTTTGAGTTACACTATTCGATTTGATATAAATATACACATAAATAATCTTTGGTGTACATAGGTAAATAAAACAAAGGGACATTGTTTAGAAAGTTAAGTTGAAGTTGTTATATATATATATATATATATATATATATATATATATATATATATATATATATATATGACTAAAACTTAAAGGCATCAGGAATTATATGACTTGTGCAAGATAAGTGACAATATTATGGACAGAATTCGCTTTAAGCAAATATAGGCGTATTTGCACATTTATTCTGAGCAGGTTCCTTTATCCGAAAACAAGAATAATTTTGACCTAAAAGACAAGAATTTCTTATTATTGTTCTAATTTCGCTAAAGGGAGACAACTGATAAAAATAAATTCTATCTTCGTGCATTCCTCATTTACTCGTCTTCTTTTTTCTTTCTTTTTTCTTTTCTTTTTTTTGTTTCTTTTCTTTTGTTTCTATCTTTCTTTATGTTTTCTTTCTTTCTTTCAAATGCTATTTGCGGTTAAAATATCATCACACAACAAAATATTAGTATAGTATTTGTATGAAGTTAATAGCTGTATTATGGTCGTTTGAGATGGGATGATCGATATATGCACAAATTGTTATGCTAAGAACAAGTTGACGTTCGAGATAGTGTGGTGTATGTAAGGCCAATGCAAAAATTTAAGGTTGTTTTTTATTATAAATGTTGGAGACGAAATGTCCCAAAGAATCCGAGTATTCATAAACAAAATTGATTTTTTAAAAGAAAGGATTTTTGATGTTTTGAAATTCTAATATTTAGTTTTAACTATAAAAACTATGAGATTAATTAATTAGAAAAGCTTTTAATTGCTTTTATGAATAAAATATATTATGGACACTATTTTCTTGAGAAAAATATTTTCGATGAATAATGACTTTTTACAAAAATGGTTTTCATTTTTTAAAAATATAATTAGAATAATTGATAAAGTTTTGCGTCTTTTAAAATTCTCTATCAATTTATATGGGTTAAGTGATACTGCTATTAATATAAAAACTATATTTACGAACCACAAATAGAAAAGTTTACCACAATTCAGCGACCCCCAATATTTTAAATGAATTTCGTGTGTGTACGTGTGACTAATCGTGCCGAATTTTGTAAATACAGACGTTCATACACTAAATTATCAGAAAATAAGTGCGTTATCTATAGCAAATTTAATTCCAAAGTACCTAAAATTCAATAAAAATATTAGAACGCGAATATTTTCCTAATTTTTTAAGTAAAGGTAATTAAAAATGATATAATAAAGGTGCTCACGTCATATTCGTAATTTTTACAGATATGTCCCCCGAAGAAAAATTTCCTGTTGTCAATAGAGCTGTCAGGATAATAATAAACATCTAACTCCGAGTTAAAAAAAAAAATATGCATTTATGCGATATTTTAAAATAAATTAAGTGATATTTGTATCAAATCAGATTAAACTTTAAATCATCTAATCTTTCTTAAACAAAGTTTCAGAAAAGTATTTTTATTTTCGAAAGATGTTTTAATAAAGAAAATTATATTCCGATGGCAGATTGGTAAAAATTGCTAAAATCAGGGATTTTTAGCAATTGTAAAAAAAAAAAAAAAAACAATAATCAAAAAATCCTTCCAATCAATTCAAATTAGTTTTTAAATACTGTAAAGTATTTTGCCTATTGGAAATATTAAATTTAATCTATTAGCTAAAATAAAAGCCTCAGGAAAGATTTTTCATTTTTTTAAAATTAATTTTAAACCGCTCGAGTCGTAGACACGAAACTCCGAAGTCAGCATGACGGAAATTCTGCTCAGTTAAATAAAAAATCTTTTTCATATTAATTTTATTAACGCTTAATCTCTGTCTCCGATATTGAGCTGTCACAAAGCCCACTAAATGACTTTCTATCAATATACCACTGAAAACTGAGCAATCTTCAAAAACAGTCTCCAAACTAAACTATATATATATTTGCTGTTACACCGTTATATATATATATATATATATATATATATATATATATATATATATATATATATATATATATATATAACAGGTGTAACAACAAAATTGTCCAAATCGTGTAAGAGCAAATTTGTCTAATTCTTAGATGAATCTCTGAACCGTTGTAATTCAGAAATTATTAAAGATTTTTAACAGGAATCTGGTGCATCGAGTGCCACAACACACACACAAATATATATATATATATATATATATATATATATATATATATATATATATATATATATATATATAGACTGGGTTCTATAGCCTTGGATGGCAACTGGTCTAGGAGAATGACAACTCTGAATTCAAAACCTGCGGAGGGTCGTTTGGGAACCTTGTGGCCCTCGGTGCACCAGGTCCCTGTATTCGTCCCTTCAAAAAGTGTGGATTGTCCTGCACGAGGCCTTCACCACTGTAATCAAATCTCATGTGCCGGTGTCGGGCTGTTGGTTTCCTGAAAGCTGATCTGCTTGAACCTCATACGTCGAATCTCGACGGGAGAGTCGATTATTATTATTATATATAATATTAGTGGTCAATACATACGTATAGTTTGCTGCCCAAACATACATTACCCCCATATATATATATATATATATATATATATATATATATATATATATATATATATATATTTAAATGGATACCCATATTGGACTAGATGCGTTTTGTTTATTTCTTAAACAGTATATTTATTTATTTACATCTATCATCCTGAAAATGATTATCCATTTAAAAATAACGTTTAAAAAATAAATATAAAAAATCCGTCGGAATATGATCCATTTCTGTAATATATATATAAATAGATATGTGTGTGTGCGTATATATATATATATATAGTGCATGATAGAGGAAAGAGAAAAGAGAAAAGTGGAGATGGAAAATTATATGATACAGCAAATAAATGCTGTAGGAGAGAGTTCCTTAGTGAGCGTCAAGAAATAATTGGCTAATATAACAAAAGCCATATAAACATGTGAACAGGTGAAACTTTAGTTTACATATGATTGCTTAAGAGTCAGAATATATTAAATATGTACACAAATCTTGATCTTTTCAAAACGAAATGTTTATTTTTATTTCTTAGCGGGTTGCCATGTTTTATGAAAGAATTTTTATTTTTTTTAATTTTTGCTCATATAAGTCGGATATCTACTCTTCTATCCTCGTTTAACAATTTTTACCGTTTGTTTTTCTTTCATTTTATTAAAATACTACCGCCTACTGCTCTGTCCTTCCATTGATATAGATTTATTGGACCATGTGTGCTTTATTTAGAAAGATTTAATATTGGGTTATTGCAGATGATTCTTGTCCTTCCTTCTTCTCATGCTAAATGCTATTAATACGTTTATGAATGTTTTATACATATATATTAATGTATATTTGGGAAGCAACCTTTCTTTTAATCACTTTTCGTTAAATATGACGGGCAAGGAAAATTTTATTAATATTTTATCTAGTTTTTCTAGTAGCCTTACATTTGTTTTGTTTTGTGGGAGTGAGGAAGAACAAACATTTTTCATATCGTTGATTGTCCCAAGCTCTTTCGGCCACTTTAAACATTTTCAGGGGGCTGATTTTGGTGTAGTTAGTTTATTTTAATGTTTTGACTGTGTGAATGTAATATTCGTGAATTTTAATAGCAGCGATTCCGAGCCGTCTTGTGTTGGGCATGGCTGGAATTCGAGTGGGCGACTTTCTATTTTCAAATGACTTTAAGCCGTTACCATTGTTAAACAATGTTAAGTTGACGGTGGGAAAGAACTGTTTAATGTATAGGGCCTATCTTATAACGAGGTATTTTTTAAATTTATTTAGTGTTATCGACTAATATCTTTTTTAAGAGTTGTTGTAGATCAAGGGTTGATTGTTTTATAGAGCTCTGCTCTACCAGGTGACGTGTGAGGCGTCTACTCGTGGGGGTGATCGCATGAACAACACACGATGGCTCGGAATCGCTGCTACAATAATTCACCAAAATCATCCCCTTGAAATTGTCTAAAGAATTGGCCGAAAGCGTTTGGGACAATCTATCGACGTTATGGACAGTGCACTCGCACCAAACAAAAAAAATATATAAGAACCCTGGATAGTAGCGTTTATTCGCGTCCGCGCGAAGGGAACGTGGCTGGAAATTTAGTTGGACTTCTATTAAAAAAAAAAAAAACACATTCTACCCGTTGTTAAATAAAGTGAGATTCATATTGGGTGTCAGATATTTTATATAGAGGGCTTCTGTCAGAGCGCCATGCTTTCATTTACGGCTTTTATGAAGAATGACAGGATATATATATATATATATATATCCTAAAATTTCGCTTGAAGACGAAACGGGACTAAACAGCACAATTCAACTTAATTTTAATAATTATTTGGATGGTTTCGGCTCTCGTTTTTGAAACATGAGAACTCTTATGTAGCGAAGGAATCATATTTTTTAATAAAAA